GCCTCGCGAGCCATGCTGGAGTGGCTGCGGCTCAGCGAGCAGCTGGAGAGGCGTGGGGCACTCCACAGGGTCAGCCTTCAGGGTGAGGCAGGAGGAGCTGCCATCTCCACTGAGGCGGCGGGACAGGGCGATCTAGCACCTGCAGAGCCAGGAGGTGTCCGGAGCCTCTGAGACAGCCTCAGAAAAAGGGCGCTTGCCAGAGGCGTTGGAGAGGCAGAGTTTGGGGACACTGAGGTGGCAGCAGCTCTCCTGCTGGAGGAAGCAGGGAGGCTGGAGATGGCCTTTCTGACAGGAGGGCACCTGCAGCACTCACCCGAGTCACTGCCTGTCCCCTCCCACCCTCTCTGTCTCCCCCGGGAGATGCGAGCGCCCAGCCTGCCACTGTGGTGAGCCGGGAGGCCGCCCGCGGGCGCCTGCCCTTCAGCCTGCGGAGAAATCGCCTGCGCTGCTCCTCGGGAGTGCCCCGTCAGCCAGCCTGCCCGTCACCCCTCGGGGGCTCCGACCCTGGGCCTGGCTCGGAGGCAGTTTTCCCGCTCCTGACTGAACACAGTTGTGGATACAGGAGAGCGGGTGGTGGCAAGGTCTGTGTGCGCCCTTTGCTGCTGAGCACTTCACCCTTCCCCACTGGCTGCCTGTTTCGTGTTTTTCCTTTACATTCTAATGGTGTTTTAGGGACAGGTTCTCTTTCTTCTGCAAGTAGATTTCACACTCTTGTGAATCCTTCGAGTTTGGTACACATTTTTGAGTCAGAGGGGAAGTATATGACTCGTTCTACAGTATAGAGTGTCTTTCCTTAAAAAAATTCCAATAGGCAGTCATATAATTTTCCTTGCATTTTCTCAGTTGCTATAGTTTGAGAAAGACAGGTATTTACTCTTTTCTAATCCTAGATATTTTTCCCTCACAAAGGTGGGCCTGGGTCTGGCAAAGGTAGCCAATGCGAACAGTTAGCCAAGAAATATGGATTTACTCACCTGTCCGCTGGTGACCTTCTCCAAAATGAGTTATCGTCATTATCAGAGAGAAGTAAATTGATCAAAGACATCATGGAGTGTGGTGAACCTGTGCCTGGTGTAAGCAACAGTTTTATTTGGGGTCCTTGTGGTTAAACAAAGGCAGGAGTAGGTAGATTGAGTAAGAGGGTGGAAATAAAAGACTAGAGCTGATGATTCCAATCTAAGTAAAATTAAACTGCAACTTGAGAGAGAATTTTCCTCATTGCCAGATCTGTGGCACTTCTTTCTCCTCTCTATGCCAGTAGTTCCTTACATTTCAGACTCCCGTAGGCAATCAATCAGTCATGAAATACAGTGAGACAGATACTATGCTATGCATTGCAAAATATAAGAATAAATACAGGAAACAGAAACTTCATGTCCATTTTATAGCTTCACATTTCAGATTCAGTGCAGGTTCTCTTGGCAGCTATTCTAATTTACAGTACCTGCAGTGGTTCCCTGCAGAGCTGGCTGACATCCCAGAATAGATGGACTGCAGTTTAATGGAGACTATGGAGACGAAGTGTGTTGTTCTCAGCTGGACTTGACTTTTACATGGCATGTCCACAGCCCTAACCCTTGGTGGGTCCTTCAGCAAGTGCAGCTAAATCGTAGGATGTGTTTGTTAATGAAAGATACTGGGAACTGCTGCTCAGAGGAAACTAAAAGCAATGCTGAGACTTGATTTTGATTGCTTTGCTCTTCAGTGTGTTTGGTCAGATGAGGTCTCTTATCACTTCCCATGTAATATAATTATGTAAATGACATAGCAAAATACAATCAGATTGGAAAATGCTGCAGCAGTACTCCCAAGTATCATAGATATTAACATCAATTTTGAAACTATGAAATATTCCCAGCTATCTATAGGACACTTTGGGAATTCTTGGATACGTTGCAACATTAGATTGGTGTAGCACAGCTGTTCCTGAGAGGAGAAATAGTAGTGTACCCTGCTACTTGCAGGACAAGAAAAACACCTGCAAACGAGACCTGCTTTTAGCAAAACAGAGCAGTTTTCAAGGGTGTAGGACTAAAGTCAATGTTACAAACAAAGGTATCAATCTTTCTTATTAATTAACCAAGTAACTCCCTTTCTTTCCAATGCAGGGTATTGTCCTAGAGCTACTGAGGGAAGTCATGGTTGCCAAGTTAGGGGACACAAAAGGATTTCTGATCGATGGATATCCCCGCGAGCTGAGAGATGCAGAGGAGTTTGAGAGCAAGGTGACCGTATAATCGTAATGCTGTTATAACTCCTGTTAAGGTACAACTGTACTTCTGACGCTGCTTCGGTCCCCATCTTTAGCTGATTGCAACAAAGATGTGTAAAGAGCAATGCAACAGTGTTGTACTGCTGATCACTGAAACTTTGGCACCCCATCAATATAGCAACTCCAGCTTTTGCCCTCACCTACACAGACTCTGTAACAATAGGAGAAGTAAAGGCTGATTTCACTCAAATTTAATATAAATCAGGAAGAATTCACATTTAGTGGAAAGCACCATTTTTAGAATATGTTTTCTAAATCTAGCGGATGGCTGCTATGCTTCTCATGAAAACCTCATCAAGTACTATTTTATGTAGGTTCATGAAAGCGTGTATCTTCACAGTTAGTATCTCTTGCCATTGAGCCAGTTCTGCTAAAGCTGTCACTGCTGTCACTTTGAAACAGAAAAACACAGATTAAATTTTTGTGATGAGTAACAGGTGGCATAGCCATAAAAAGAGTGTTTTGCAAGTGACTGTGCGGTAATTCAGAGAGTTATCGATTTCCTCAGTATGTACTAGGACCTACTGAGAAGTCTCAGCTGTACATTTCTCAATCTGCAGAAAATACTCTGAATATGCCCTGTGAATGAAACTGACAGGGTTTAGGTGAAAAAAAGTGGTGAATTAGGAGAAATAGTTAAGTATATATTCTATCCCATTACACTCCACAAATGTCCTATACAAGTTTGAAAGGTAATAAAACTTTAATGAATCATCTGTTTTCTCCCTGAACCTTTAGCTGCTTTATTTAGTTAATTATCACAAAATCTAGCAAAATTTAGGCATCAGAAGCTGGACAAAATAATGAGCAATAGGATTTGCTATAGAAGCCATTCATGGAAATGTTGGTCTATTAGTTAACTTACTAAAATGCCACAGACTATTAAAAAGACATTTAAGATTTCTTTCATTCTGTGTAGAAGGAGGGACTATTTCAGCAGTGCTGCTTTTCTGGCAGGCATACCTGTCATGTCCTGTGAACACTGGAGTATGCTATAACGTAGGACTTAAAGATTGGAGTGTCCTAGACTGAGGCGTTGCCAGGCAAACAAGTCTTGATGCATCCAGTGCAAAAGTAGAGCCCCTTTCAGTTCCCTTAGACACTGTAGCAGCAAAAGAGCCTGTAGTCCTGAGCTGCGTTTGACATTTTGAGTAGAATACAAGGACCTCAAGTGATAATTTTGAATGTGCTAAATCATCCCTGTTGTATCCATGTGTCCATTTAAGTGTTCACAGAGTGAACTTGGCTGGCTGTAAACTGCTCAGTAAGTCTGTGATGGTTTTTTTAAATTAGTCATTATTGAGATAATCCTTTACAGTTCTTTCTGAAGGGCGATGAGAAATTCTTCCTATATTATAATGGTATGAAAAGAGATGAACATCAGGCTTTATTAATTAATGGCGTCAAAGTACAAATGAATCATGCTACATATCTGTGTGATGTGTAAAAAGTGTTATAATTGTTAACAAAGAGCTACTCTGTTTAGAAGACAGAGAGAATAGTGCTTATGCTTAAAAACTTGACAGCCCTAAATAGAATTAGCTATGTAGAAACAGCTTATTCTCCAGTCAGTTTTGCCCAATTCCTTTCTATAATATAATTGTACTTTTATCTAGCCATAATTCTAGAAAAGCATATGTTTGTGTTCCCTCCTTGGTCTTTCTGCTATGTGGGAAGTAGAAAACAATATTAAATTACAAGTTCCACACCAGATATGTGTGTATATATATATATATGTATATGTATATGTATATAATATATATATAGTATATGTTACATACTATATAACAGTATATCATATTATACTCAATAAGACAGAATAAGACCCAATACATTAGACTTGTTTGGCTTGCTGCAGGTGTTCCCACAGCATGCGTTATTTAAACTAAAGTGTGTCAGGAAAAGAGTAATTTAAAAAAAAACAACAAACCAACAAAAACGGTAGTAAAAAATGCTGTAATATCTAATAGAGGCATTACTTTTACTTTTTGCAATTTTTAACTGAGAAGAATGACATTTCTGTAACATTCTGAATTCCAGAGAATAGCAGCATTGAAACTTTTAAGAGAATTACATATATTTTTCAAAAGCAGATCAGACCTGGTCTATCAAAGACAATACTATTATCTGATCCTACCAGTCAGTAGACTCCTTCATATCCTCATTGTAAGGTGATATGACTATAACTGGTGAAAGGAATAATTCCTCATTTATTCTATTATAATTTAGAACAGACCATGGAATTCCTTATGTGGAGCTGGGAGGAAGTAACTTCTCACCATCCTAGTCCAATTATACAAAAATGACATTTGTTTAAATTATTGATTAAGCACACATCTTTTTTAACTTCTTGATTTAAGTCTCTTGCAATGTTAAAACTGCCTTTTTGGCTTTTTTAATCCCAACTCCCAATACTTCTGCTGCTAATAGTATTAATGTTTTCTGAGCTGGAAAAATGAATGGATAAAAAGCCTGTCATTGAACTGTCTGACATAATCCCTTGATTTCAGCTGTCTCTTAGAAACTCTTTAAGGTAGTAGAAAGGCCAACATAATCCAGGCATCCCCTGTCCAATGCACAACGCCTCACGTGAAATATTTACCTTTAGAATATTTCTTCCTTTAAGGGCTGTCAACAAAGGTAGCAATGGCCATTTCCATATATCAGCCATTTAGACTTTCTTTGCTGTAGCCATGGTAAAAGCATGACTTTCTAATGGCCACTTGCGTGAAGAACAGTTGTCTTTTCTCATGACTTCTCACTCTTTAAGGTCTCCAATTCCTTGCTAGAAAGGGAAGGAATGAGAAAAAGCCTCAGAGCATCATTGAAGGATTTGATACATAACTGCATGGAAATATTGCTTTTCTCTGATCTTAAAACAACTTTCTTTTTCTTGATAGAGTTTATCCCTTTAGACTCAGCCCGACAGTTGTTGCTCAGACAAAGCTTTGTGTCAGAGAGAGCTGTGCCTGAGCAGGGTGCATGACAGAGTATATTGCAGGATTTATACTGCAATAATGATATGCATATTTTTCATCATC